GAGAGAGAGAGAGAGAGAGAGAGAGAGAGAGAGAGAGAGAGAGAGAGAGAGAGAGAGAGAGAGAGGCAAAGAGATAAACTTGCAAGTTCCACAGAAGCATGTAAGTAGAGGTTGAGCAAAAGGATCTTGGATTATGCGAGTCCACAAACAAAAAAAAAAAATTGGTACTTGGGTTTTGTGGAACACCACCAGCAACAAAACCAGGCATCCATGGTTAAGTGATAACCCAGGTAACACGCATACCAACAAGAGAGGCAAGTAGCAGGTCAAGCAACATCAAAGGTGGTGAAGGAGAAACCGGCGGGGGGGGGGGGGGAGAGAGGGGGGGGGAGGGGGGGGGGGGGGGGGAGAGAGAGAGGGCTGGAGGGGGGGGGGTAGAGATGGGGGGGGGGGGTGGGGGGGGGGTGAAGGGGGGTGAGGAAGGGGTGGGAGGGAGGGAAAGAGAGGAGCTGACGAAGAGAAGGCCGGTAAAGTTGGAGAACCACCATGAAAATGAATGAAACAGTATAGGAGGGATAATATCCACCAGTACTCCAGCACGCTCTCGGACCTGGGTACCCCATCCCATCTTACAATCAGTCCGCAGATGGTTTCCCACTGCACCATGTCACCTTCTTTGGTCCGAAGACTCTGATCAGAGTACTCGGGTCATTGCTTTATGCATGGCAGACAAGGACCATAACCCTGGACCTCCACGGGCAATTTCATGACTGTCCCGAGGTGGCACGCCTTTCAAGTCTGCTCTGCGTCAGTCTGTCCTGGAGGCAACACGTCTTTCACGTCTGACATATGCCCTTGGTCACCAAGCCTAGAACCGACCGCAGGCCAGTGGAGGCATGTCCCCCCAGCCGCAGGCCGGCGCAGCTCTTGCAGCACACACAGCAAGGGAGGGGATGGGTCTCCAGCCAGCTACCGGATAGATATCCACTCCTCAACGACACGGAAGGGCACTTTATAGCTTCCTGAGTCTTTACCAAAACCTTGGGTACTATGATCTCTCTCTCTCTCTCTCAGCTGATCTGAACAGACAGCTTCTCGGATTACAAAATAATAAAATCGAGCTTTCAAGACAGGCAGCTGGCCGCAGGAAAACAATCAACTGCATACTGTCTGACAACTGCCTGTGCTTTGCACATCCCCCCTCGCTGTGCAGATCGCCCATCGCTGTGCAGATTGCCCATCGCACTGTGCAGCAAGAAGACGCCCGAGTGGCTAAAGATCAATCGAAGTCGGAGCCACTTAAACCACCAGTACCGGGCTCAGGCAAACTTGAGAATCAAAGCGAAAACTTTGGGAGGCTCAGTGCAACTGGACCAAAATGGCTGGAGGCGGTGCACTGCCGTCTTCCCCCGAACACCACACACCATGATAATGAACGTATACAAGCTATCTTTCCGGTCTGGTGCAGCCAAAATGGTTCAAAAGAAGACGGTGCACTGCCGTCTTCCCCCGAACACCACACACCATGATAATGAACGTATACAAGCTATCTTTCCGGTCTGGTGCNAAATGGTTCAAAAGAAGACGGTGCACTGCCGTCTTCCCCCGAACACCACACACCATGATAATGAACGTATACAAGCTATCTTTCCGGTCTGGTGCGGCCAAAATGAGGGTGCATCCGAACACCACACACCATGATAACGAACGTATACAAGCTATCTTTCCGGTCTGGTGCGGCCAAAATGAGGGTGCATCGAGTTCAGGGGAAGACGGCAGTGGTTCGGGACAGCTTGGCACGGCAGGGGGACTCTGCCGCCCTCGGCAAAAAGAGGCTCGGAGGTACTGGTGGTTTAACATCAGAGAGGTACTGAGAGGAGCTTGTCCATCACTGTCAAGATTGCCACTGTCATCGCCATATGCAGCAACAAGAAGAGCAGAGAGTATGCGCTTCTGCATGATCGGCTGACGTCACGGTGTCTTGGCAATTACTGGAAGCCGATAGCCCCTTAAGATGAGATCCACCTTTAGAAGGTACATGCGCTGACCATTCTCCTGTCCACAGTTGCTTGCGCCTGCACTCACATTCGGAGCAACGCACCACAGACGCGAGAGGAAGACTCGGGAAGTCCATGAGTGGAGTGGAGGTTCGCTAGCGATACACACAGCAACCATCGTTCCTAAAATAGCATGACGCATACGATTTTGCAACCACATACATATATAAATTAATCTATCTATTGCCTCACACTTTCCCAAAATAGCATATACATGTAATTGCATCCATGCCCACGTACACGCACATCTAATGGATATTATGCATATTTTTCTCTTGAGTGCGAAAATGCCAGCTAGCCATATCAGACTGAACAAACAAACTCCCTCAAAAGTGTCATGACATGGACAAGCGAGGCAGATGGAATGACAACCATTGTTGCTTGGAAGCACTTACTTAGCAACATATAGACACTAATGAAAACATTTCGTGCGCTGCCCTGGCACCCACCCATGTTCACCGATTTCTTTTTTTCTTTTTCTTTTTTCAAAGTTTTACGTGTAGAAGCAATTTCTCCAAATTTACGACCCCAACCATATCTTCAGTAATCTGTAAAAAAACATTTTGTGCCCTGCCCTGGCACCCACCCATGTTCACCGATTTTTTTTATTTTTTTTTTCCTTGGTCCATTTCTCGATTAACGCGTGTCATCCTTGAAAGCGCAGGGGCCATGCTAATCTTCTCTGTATCGTTCCAATTTTAATGGATGTCCCGAAGGACCATGTTCACCGATTTCTTTTTTTTGTTGTTGTTTTCAAAGTTTTACGTGTAGAAGCAATTTCTCCAAATTTACGACCAACCTTTTTTCTTCTTTTTTTTTTTTTTTTTTTTTTTTTT